TTTTGTAGCATTATCGGTGCAAAGTATTTTAATGGTATGAGAGAATGGAGTTTTAACCATAGTAGCAAAGTTAATATAGAGGTTTGGTAAATTAGATCATTGTTTCAAAAAATAAATCCAAGTAAAATGAGAATAATCTTCAATAAATATAATAAAAATCGATAACCATTCATAAATAGGGTAGGAGAAGGTCTTCAAATATCAAAGTGAACTATATGAAAAGGAACATAAAAAATGGAGGTATTGTTATTAAAAAACAAAATAGGTTGTTTAACTAGTTGATAATTCAAACAATTAAAGGACTCAAATTTTATAGATCCTAATAACCCTCAAGAGGTTAAAGAATGAAGTTTACTTACGAAGCATGACCTAGGTGTAGATGCCATTGATGTATAGATGAATTAGATGTGGTAGCAATCGATAAGTTTACTTGTCAAAAGTCATATGATTTGAATAAGCAGAGTCAAAGAGCCAAGAGGATTTACCTAGAGTAACGAGACAATGTAGAAGAATTAGTAGAAATAACCTATTTGAGTAGAGCTTCAAGATCACTTATGGTTATGCCAATAGAGTTCTCAGAGGCAATAACAACAACAAAGGAAGAACCGGGTTTAGAGAAATGACTCTTGAACTTAAAGGGACCGCCCTTTGATCTTAATGGGCGAACAAGATAATTTTCAATAATATGTCCAACTTCATGACAATATTTGCATTCAATGGTAGGACGAGTAGAAAAGATGTGACTTATTTGATGATAGTTCTTACGAGAAGGAGTTTTTGACCTTAGTTAGGATGTTCTATATGAAGTAGTGGCTAGAGCAACATCGGTTAGAGAGGTCTTGTCTAGCGCAAGATATGTTTCCTCAAATATGATTTCTTGAATGGCGGTATCAAATGATGGAAATGGATTCCTATGTAATAAAGAAGCTCTAACAACTTTATATTCTTGGCGTAGTGCCATTAGAACTTGGATAAGATGGAGATGATTTTAATCGATCTTAGCTTAAGGGTTATACTTGAACAAAGAAATCATTTATCGATTAACTATATTCTTGCTTGAGATTATGGAGAGTGGTCCATAATTGATAATAATGTGCAAGCCCAGTGGTTTTATATCGAGTAGCCAAAAAATCCTAAATCTCCTTAACGGTATCATAATCGACTAACTAAATGTGAATGAAAGGGACAGAGGTGTTATAGATCCGGATGATGATTTGATGATTTTTGCTATCCTAGTCTTCAAGACGATCTTGAAATTTAGCATCAATCTCATCCTTCTCCTTTGTAGGCTTGGCAATATCTCCAGTGACAATATGCCAAAGTTTGTAATTGGATCCAATCAAAACAATTGAAATTGGCTTAGAGATTTCTAACTTTTTCATTGTATATAGATGGATAAGAAGGATTTTAATGATAGAGACAATGGCAAGCAAAGGCCCTAGATAAGTAGATGGGACAAAGGCAATTGAAAGAGAGCCTGGCTCTGATACTATGTTATTTGTAGATGAAGAATGAAAGGGATAAAGAAATTGAAAGGAAAGAAATATACATTATGTTGTCCTATTTCTTGTCCTATGAATTACAGGATATATACACATGGTAATTTGTATACAAGCTTAACATTTAGCTTGATTTATGGGACAATATATTGACAGCCCATTCTTACATTTATGTTGCTATAATTACGCTAACACCATTGATACCAAGTTGAGAGAAATAAATAAATAAATAAATATATAAAGATACTCCTATGACTACATAGTTCTTTATAATGGTATCGTATCGTATTTATATGTAGGGTTTAGTGCAATATAAAAAAGAGTAACACGACGGACCATCGGACCATCCGCCTAATAGCCAGGCTTCATGCTAAACAAAAGCCGTAAATATAAAAGAAATTTAATAAATTAAGAAGACCAATGGCTTGTGTTCGTAAGGATCTTTTTGACAGACTCCTCCTTTTCTCCAGTCACGACACTAACATGATATTATTAATTATCCTCTCAATCAAAAAAAAAAAAAAAAATTCTTAAAAATATAATTTATTAATAAAAGTGTTGCTGGTGCCTCTCATTGGAATGAGTTTGATCAGTCGAAGCCATTCTTGAAACAATTGTTGTTGGCAAATCTTGGGGAATGCCATCCTTTTCTTCTCGGTTATTGAGGCCAGCAAAGACCTAACATGTGAGAAAACCTAAGCTATATGCTGGTCTTAAGAGAATAGTAAGGAATTAGGCTATGGTTTTGTGGTCTGAGGGTCAGATTTGTTTCTGTTAAATTTTTCATATTTTGCTTATTTTACCTTTTTAGTCTTGTTATTTATTATTTTATGTCACCTTCACATTTGTATATGAGTAATATTATTTTTCCTAATCATAGAACCAAAAAAGAAAAGATGACATTAAGAAACCATAATAATGTTATTTATAATTATAAAAATAATAGAAAATATAAAAATCATCTCCATGACCAATCGGCCATGATAAGAAAAAAAATCTAACTTTTGCCATCACATATTGATCATGACCACCACAATATCATCATCAGGGCTACTATAATATTTGTAATAATCATATCATTAATTTAAGAAATATTTCCATATTGACAATATTCGAAAACAACAAAGCAACAGCGATAAATAATTAATATATTCGCTGCAAGTCATTGAGAGGCTGAGGCTATCCTCTTCTTTGGCTACAATACTTGACCAACAGCAAAAAGCAATAAGATTCCCTTACTCATTTCCTGCTAGTAGAGGAACCAATCGGGCCTATGAGCAACTTAATTTTCAACCCATGGAAAAGCCATTCACTGACATCCCTCCATCAATGCATATGACTTGTCCTGTTAAGAAGCCCGGTCCAGGCAAGCATAGAAATGCAACAACTGAAGAAACCTCCCCTGGTTCTCCAACGCGTCTCATGGGGGTTCGATTGACAACCTCATTCAGAATGTTTTCATCGTCCAGACTCTGAATCGTAAAGTAAAAGCATTAGATAAACTCACATCATGCAAATCCTAGCTAGACCAAAATCTAATTGACCCAGCTCTAGAGAGACTCTGAATCGTGAAGGAAAAGTTAAGACAAATTGCGGAAACGAGAAACATTAGTAAAAGAGAATTTGTGAGTTTGCAGAATATTGTACAGGTGTAGTGAGTGGAGTTCGGATGAACCAAGGTGCAACTGCGTTAACCCTTATATTGTCCTTAGCCCATTCGCATGCCAAATTCCTTGTAAGTTGGGTCATTGCAGCTGAAGTATACATGTTGTGACAAATCAGAATCGAAATTGAAAAATAAGGAGAAAAATAAATTGAGAAAACAGAGAATTAATTTAGTACCTTTAGAAGCTGAATATAAAGTATACTGAGTATTTATAGATGTCACACTAGCAATAGAAGACATAAAGACAATCCTTCCAGCTCCTGAAGCTTTCAAAAGTGGATGTGCAAGTTGGGAAAAATGGAAAGCAGATTGAAAGTTTGTATTCATGAGAGATGTGAAATCCTCAGCTGTGTAATCTAAGGTTGCTTTATATATGTTTGTCCCAGCATTGTTTACCTTGAGATTAGGAAGAGTTTAGGGAAACACAAAAATTATCAGCGAAAATTACAAAATGCATTTATTTTGCAACTAATCATGCTTCTTAATTAACTTTTGTTCTCTCTTTAAGGACTCATTTTTCCTTCGAACAAGACGAGATTCGGTAAGTCCTGTAAACGTGTTAAAGCAAAAGGAAAGAAAGCAAAGTGAAACTTTACTTACAAGGATGTTAAGTTTCCCATCAAACAGATAGGAAACTTCCTTCATCAACTTCTCTCTTTCATCAATAGAGGATACATCACACACTGAACCGGTAACTTTAAAACCCTTCTCCTTCCATTCCCTCAAGCATTCATTGATCTGGTCTTGGTTCCTCGCACATGTATGCACGATTGCCCCTAGCGCAGCCAACTCATCCACAATAGCATACCTGATCATAATTCATCAGCAAACAACTGTTTTAACGGCTTTAATTTCAAGAGGAAGGTGATTATTATTTGCACACTTAAGAAATTTGGGGACCTTCATGTATTCTTGCTTCTGCATAATAAAACATGTAATGAACGTGTGTCAATGTATCATTTATCAATAAATTTACAGGCTTATGCTAATGTATAAATTAAGACTGTGGGACTAAAATAAACATTAAGCAACGTGACGAGAAAAAGGAAATGGAAGAGCTTGAATTACCCGAGTCCTTTGGTTCCGCCAGTGACAAGGGCTGTCAGGCCTTGAAGACCCCATCTCTTATCCCTGCTACTGATTTCTTGTTGAGACATCTGCTCTTCTCTCTCTTTGAAGTTCAACACCTCTAAGCTTCAAATATGTAGTAAAGTGACAGCCAGATTGAATGAGAAAAGGAGGGGAGAAAGTTGGGTACAAATCGCCATAAAAGGAAAAGATCGGAATTATGTCTATCATCAAGATGTCCGGTAAAAAACGAATGAGAGCCAAGTTACAGTCTTGAAAAGGGACCATGTACGAATGGCAGTATGGTAGCCACGTATATTGGCGAAGATGAATGGAAAAGGGTGCAGATAATGGCCAGGGAGCAAGTGGCTAATAATTCTATACTGTCTCCGGTGTTTTGGATTTACGTGTAGGTGCGTTTCTACTTTCTGGTCTTGAAAAATTTCTCTTCAAATCAAATGAGAAATCCATAAGATTCTCTATGCTATTTTGAACATTTGCAAAAATCCAATCACGAGAAAGCTAAAGCTAAGCCTCCAATAAAAAAGTAAACAATTTCTAAATTGATCCAATCGGCTGGTTTGAATGAAAATGAATGTAGTTGTTTAAATAAATAATCTTAAATTTAAGTTTTTATATATAAAAAAATCGAAATAGTTATTTCCATCTTATATCTTATATATCTAATGAAATAATAAAAGATTAATATGAGTATTAAAACTTAGACACATGATATCTAAGTTAAGATACAATTCACTGGGACAAAAATGGATAGAGGTTTCAAATTTTTTTTTTGATATCTTTGCTTTTTAATCAAATCACTTGAAAAGACACCTTTTCTCTCATCTATGTTATTGTAATTAAGTATGGGTAACCATAATTCTGGTTAATCAAAAAATCGAATCGAATTATATATTTATGTTTGGTTTTGAACTTACAAATTAAAAACTGAATCAAAATATCGAAATTATTTCGATTTGATTTTTTTTTAAAAAAAAATCAACAAAAACTGAAAACTTAATATATTAAAAGTAAAAACTAAAAAACAAAACAACTTCTGGCCACCACCACTAAATCTCATGTTTTTGTTTGTCAAAGTTGTGTGCTTGGCTCTCATGTTTATCAGCAAAGAATTCTAGATTTAGGATTTACTTCATGCCTGCACATTTCACGGTCTGTTAGGGGTTAGCTACTGATTTTGATCTATTTTTTAGATGCCATGACTCCTTTTCTTCTTTAAGTATTAAGAATGAGGTTAGATGTTTTATGGGTCAAATTGTTTAGAATGCTTAGGTCACATTTTAGATTTTAAGCTGAGCTTTGCATTTCTGGAGCAAGTACAAACCTGCTTCTTGTCTTTCTTTTTGGCACACATGCTCGTATAAAAAGACATGAGCTTAATTGAAGTTTAGCTTTGAACTTCAAATTTCGGCATGATCTGATTGCCTAAGGTTCTCATTTCTGTTTAAGTGCTTGGTATTTTTGAAGTTTAGCTCAGAATCATCTTCTGGGTTTCTTTGTTCCAGACTTGGCAAGCCAATCTGTAAAGGTAATAACCTCCCATGGTTTAAGTGGCTCTAAGCTGGCTAGCGTTTTAGTTTATACTTTGATATGTCCTTACATCTGCTTTCATACTAGTGAAAAACAGACCATTTATGATAAGATTAAGAATTTATAAAAATTTCATTTCTTTTATCTGGTTTAAAATTTAAATTATGATATTCATAAAGAAAGCATACCTGTTATTATATCAGCTCATATGCTAAAAAAATAAAAAAATATTTAAATATTAGCCCAACTCATATTTAGAATTTATTAATAAAAAAATATTTCGATTAAAATTAAATTTTTATGAAATCGAATCAAAATAATTTAATTTCAAATCGTATTCACCAAACTTATTTTGTTTTAATTTCGATTTTTATTTTTTTAATTTAATTAATTAAAAATTAAATTGAATTTATATAAAATCGAATCGTTATCTTTATGGCAAAGATTTGATAGTTTTCTTTTTGTTTTTTAATAAAAGGGCTTCTCTCTCTACCAGAAAAAAAGAGTTGCTGATAGATTAGTGGTTGCCAAATTAACATATTTTCTCGCCTACATGATTCTGGTGTGAAATTGATGATTTTCCTTTTGTTTTTTAAGAAAGTGGAATTTTTGTCTCTTTCTACATAAGAAAGTGAAATTGATGGTTTTTACTTTTTAGCAAACTAATGAAATATATATATATATATATATATATATATATATATATATATATTAAAAGTTGTTGTTTTTTGGAAAGAAAAAAATCGGCAGTACTCACATAATATACATTTTTTTAATTAACACCAAAGTATTCTTCTTCGTCATAACAAATTTAATTAATTACAACCTAAGAATCCCCATCATAATAAATCTTATCAGTTACAACATAGAAATCCGAGCTCATAGGAATCCTAGAAAAATTTATATTCCTAAAATATAGGTTAATTCTGTTTTTTTATTTATACACCATACAAAACTTTAAATAATATAAAATAAGCTATTTAACACACTCCTAAACTATATAATACTATATTGGTGGTTTATTTAGACTATGCAAACTCTAAAAATATGTTAAAACAAGCCAATAAAAATTATAAAGCATTAAAATTCAAAAAATTACATCAAATTATTAAATTGAACCCTTAGTTATTTTTATAGCTAGGTTTTTTTTCTTACACCTTTTTTACACTTTTGAATTGACAATATTATAAAATGGGAAATTTTATTAAGAAAAATAACTTATAGATTTTTTTTTCATGTATGTAATGTCATTTATAATCATGTCGTATATAAATGAAAAAAATATTCATAATAATATAATGTCAAGTGATTTTTTTAATAGCTATTATTTTTAAAAATGATTGACGTTGGTGAAACAAATAAAAATTAATTTTTTTCCAAGTAAAAAATCAGCAACGTAAAGTGGGTATTTGGATTTATGAAATGTAAGAAGAACGTGACAGTTTCATATTACCTTAAAAAGAAGTTGAAGGAGACTTAAGAATAAAAGAAATTAATGAACGATTTCGAATTGTTGCTCTGGTAGGTTCTGTCAATGAACCAGATGTCAATAATGTACATTTTTTGGGATTGATAAGCCAACGTTTTAAACAATGTTTATATATAAATTACTTTAAAACATTAGCATAGTTTATAGAATTTTGGGAATACAATTACAAGAAAACCAAAAAAATCTGGAATAAAAAAACAATAATTACTGTTTATTTGCCTTAAATCACTATTCATTAGTGGCAGTTTTAGTAATCTACGAAAGTGATATTTTCAAGATAAGTTATTTATTTACAAATTTTACACTTTATTTCATTTCGCTCCTTCATTTTTCCAAACAACATTTTTGGTTTTTCATGTTTTTTAAATATATTTTTGGCATCGTCATGTTTTTATCTTTTTTTATTTTGATTTTTTATTTTTTTAAAAAATATTTTTTGTCACTCATACATATTTTTAAAAGATTTTTTTGGTGTCTTATTTTTTTACATTTTAAAATAAATATATGTGTTAGATTATATTATTATTATTGTTTAAAATTCATATCTTCAATTTGTCGTTTTCTTATAAAAATTCTTATCAAACTAATTTTTAATTTTTTATATAATTTTATTTGTTAATAAATATGATTTATTTTCTCTCTGTATATGAATTTTTAGATAAGTTTTTTTTATAAGAAAGAATTAATTAAATAATTGAATTTACTTGTTTCTTTTAGTTATTCTTGGTATAATCAAAACTTTTTCAATAAATTTTTGTAGTTGTTTTTATAACATTATATTAACTTTAATATATTCTTTATAATTTAAATTTTTTTAAAAATATTTTTCAATTTACACTGCATATTTTAGCCCACTGAATATGGTCATCATATGTAAAAACAATATCAAGGTCGTTGATTTTATTGAAAATTGAACCCTTTGATTATCTTATTTACTTACTGAAGAACTCATTACACAGGCCTATCTTCACGAAATATATAATAACAGTAGTTGAAATAAATGCTACTTTTGTTCAAACAAACAAAGACTGTACTGAAAACAGAATTGAAAACTGCAGATGTTTAGTATTAACATGAAAATTTTGTAAACTACAAACTTTGCATGCGATACACCCCAAAGAACACACAATCTGGAGAGGTTGAATTACTTGAGGAGAACGTAGCTTTACGTACGACGACCTATCCCTTATATTCCCATCATAAGATCCTCATCCCATTCGGCCATTTTCGGGCAGTTCAACAATCTCATTAGCAAACAGAGAGTATGACAAAGATCATGCATACCCCAATCACAATCAAAATTAAAGCTTAAATCACTGTAAGGAGTAGGATTTGTTTTATTTTGAATCACAAACCATTGCATCAACAAAATTCTTACGCTCTTCTCCCTTGTATCCATCCTCAAAAGTGTAAGTTTTTTGGTGATGAAGGTCATATAGCATGCACAAATTAACTCCTAACAAGAAGACCTTGATATAATGTAGACATATGCCAATCATATAGCATCCCCCAATTCAGTAGGATGGATTTCTTTAACCAGTTGTTTCAAATTCCTGCAAACAGCACTGCATCAGGTTTGATCAACAGTAGGCATCCTTGAAACAATTGTTATTAGCAAATCTTCGGGAAGGTTGGACAATGGCCATTCCAATGTCCTTCTCCACTCGGTGATCCTCGTAATTAAAAGAAGTTTGAACTGAAAAGGCACCTTATGTGTGGAGCTTAAGCAGAAAAGAGGGTGAAAGAAGGATAGAGCAATATCATTTTCAAAGGCTAATTTATAAGCAACCAACTTGTCGAGGAAAACCTACTTTTATAGGAAACCTGATAGAGCAAGGACTTTTTTTGCACCAAACAAAAAAGAGCAATGACTTTTATTTTTTGTAGGAAGGAACTTCTAAAAGAGTAAACCCAACATGTGCATGCAAGCTCTTATAAATTAGTTCCTCTAGTTTTTCAAAAGAAATTAAATAGTCCTTCTAGTTTTGCCAACTAATTGATTACTCCCTATATTTTTAAATCTATTTATAAGTTAATCTTTTTCATTCTTTTTCAATTTTTTTTAATAAATAGAAAAAGAAAAAAATATTTAAAAGAATAGGAAAATATTGATAAGCAAAAAAAAAAAAAAAAATTTACTGAAAATAAATAATATTAAATTAATCATAATCAACACTAGTCAAGAAACTATGTAATTAGTTTTTGAAAAAAGAGAGACTAATTTATAATTTACTAAAGCTACATCAGCAATATATATATATATATATATTATTACTATACATCATTATTTATCATTATATAACAATATATATATATATATATTTTAAAAAAATCAGCCATGCCATTTCAGCAATTGAATTTCAGCCACAAAAGCAGAGAGTCAAAGACCAAAAGTCTCGTGACTCAACCCACGCCACCTACGTTGTCGCTGCTGCCGCCGCCGCTAATCCAAGATGCCATCAGATGTTGGAATCCCTTTCTTGTTTTCTTGGAGAGTTACTGAAAACCTAGATGACAATAGAAGTTGAGTTTTCCCAAAATTTTCTTTCTTAATTACAGAGAGAAAAGAGGCGTGAGAGATAGAGTTTCTTTCTTTCTTAAGCTTTTTATTTTTATTTTTTCTCGTGAGGTTGAAACGGATTCTGGATGAATATAAAGAAGAAATGTCACTGCTTGATTTGTTCCATTTTATGATGATCAACGATGGTTATTGAGTTATAAGTTATATCGTGATCTTTTTTAATGTGAAGTTGCAACTCTTTGTACTTAGATAGGATAGAATCAAATACATTTTATATTGGCAAAATATTAAATGAGTCCACTTATTTTGGCAAAATAAATTAGTTAGTTTTCTTTTTTAATTTCAAAAATCAATTATTTAGTTATTTTTGTTCATTTTATCTTCCAATTTTTTATTTTTTAAAAGAATAAAAAAAAAATTATCTTGAAAAGTTTGATGAAAAAAAATATTTTATAGAATAAAATATATTACATTAAATATGGTCAATATTGATAAAAAAATTAAATAATTAGTTTTTAAAATATTAAGAATTAATTAATACATTTATCAAAACTAGAAGGACTAATATACAATACTTCAGGTTTCTGTCTTCCGGGTGCAACAAATTCAAAGGCCTCAAATGCAGGCTTTAATTGATTAAATTATAAATTAGTCCCTTTAGTTTGGAAAAGTAAAGTAGTTTGTCTTTCTTGTTTTGAAAATTAATTATTTAGTCATTTTTTCAATTTTATGTTATTTTTCAATTTGTTTTCCTTTTTAAAAAAAATTAGAAAAAATAATAAAATAATAAATTTACATCATAAATATATTGATGGAAAAACAATTGTAAAATAAACTATATTACATTAAACATAATGAATACTGATAAAAAAAATTAAATAGCCAATTTTTGAAACACTAAAATTAATTAATTCATTTATCAAAACTAAAGAAACTAATAATAATTTACTCTCTCACCAAATTGCAGCGTTTAAATTTGATTGCATGCAATCAAACAACCAAAGAAAAATATATATCCTTTCCCAAGTTAAAATATCATATAATTTTCAACTGCATCTATATCATCATAAAAGTATCAGAAATCAACTCTGAACATTGAACTCTCTCTCAAGTCTCAATTTATTTTAAACTTCTTATTTTCTTAACAAATCACATAAAACATTCTAAATATTTTTTTGTTTGGAAAGAATTCATGATGGTAATTCTCAATTCAAATTCACTTTATAATTTTTTTTACGATATTAATCTATTATAAGTGTTATTAACTATTTTTTTGGTAATAAATTCAAATAATGTTATATGATATTAAACTATTTGAAATGTTATTATTTATTTGCATGCTTAATTAATAAAATTGTGAAAAATATACGAATTAAAATAAATTTATTAACGAGTTACTAATGTATTCATGATATCGGTTACCACGATCGTTATTTTATGATTGTGACCGTTTTTTCAATCGCGACCGTTATTTAAAACTATGGTACAACCAAGTTTTTATTTAGCATTTGCTTGCTGAAACAGGAAAAGTGATCAGAACTTGTAGAAGCTATGTAATTTATTTCTTCTGATAGGATGGAATTGGCACTCCTGACTCTTCTGCAAGCTTTTTGTAAGCATTTTGCAACTTTCGAGTCACAGGCCCCACTCGTCCATCGCCAACTTCACGTCCGTCAATCTCCACAGCCTGTTAAAGGATATTCGTAAAATAGGTGCTCATTGTCAAAAAACAAGAGAGTTATGGTATATTAGTTCTTGAATTTGTCAGAGTGACGCTCCATGAAGGTACCAAGTTCAATATCACTCAGTTTAGTTCAACCAGCATAGTATTCTGTTCTATCTAGCGAATCAGCTTGAGACTTTTCACGGGAGCCAAGCTAAACATACACGAATCGGTCAAGCCTACTAATAAAAACCCTTACAGTGGTGAACCTAGTTTGGACAACGTGAACTTCAAAGTGTAACCGTAACTATCGCTGCTTAACTACTTACTACGATTTGAAAGCAACAGTGGTGCAGTTTGGTTTTTTAAGGGCAGAGTATGAACATTAAAGGAGGAGACTCCAGAGAATTATTTGCATAGCTAAGACAAACTACATAGTACGCAAACTGACACAAGATTCAGCAACTTGAGGATCGATAAGGAAATAATGAAAATGGGACGGTTTAAAATGGCCCACTTCCATGGAGGTCTGTCTATGGGCACTGGGCAGGTTGGAAAAGACACACAACTAGATTGACAGACTAGCCATTGTATCCAAAAATGATCGCAGTGAACGAAAACTTTTGCAGTTATAACGATAATAGAACCATCCTTAGTGGTTGGCACTTCATTCTTAAACTCAGAGGCTGATGTTCAGATTGGTAGGACAGCATCGAAATCAAAGTTGCCAGCACCTACAGGACCTCAAAATCACCTATGGAAGAGTCTAGATATGAAACATGATGTTGCTGTGGACAGAGACTCTGACCCAAGATGGTCCATGATGCACCCTTAGCATACTAGCATAGTTGGAGAAGTTATATTTTTAAAAAGAATATACTCACCGGGCTAAGCTCTCCCATTGTTCCAGTTGTAAATACCTGCAGAGCATCAATTTTCTTAGTGACTCGTGAATTTGTTCAAGTAAAATAAAACAAATTGAAAACCAGAAGACAATTGTTCACAAACAAAATATATGAATTCATTGCTTTAAGTAGTGGGATGTTTCATTCGAAATAGGTCAACCGAATTTAATTTCTACTTCAGAAATATGTTGTCTAGCGGTCTAGCCAATCAAATAATGAGACTAAGCTCATGTCTTTGTAGGTAATCATCATGGTCCACAACACTGGCTGCATGATTTTAAACACAGACCACTGATAATAGAAAACTACTAGAGGACATAACTTAAGCCAATTGCTAGCTTCATAAGAGATAATTCTGCACAGGTATCATAATATAGTATCAATTTTGGGAGGTAGTATAGCATGTTGCCTCGCCGAAATAGCTTTGATTAATGGAAAACGAATTATTTCTCGAGTGCAGAAGATGTAAATGCCGCTTTGGGTTCTAATGAAAAATGTCGTCTACAAACTCTGTTATCGTTCTGTAAATACTTCACTATTTCGTTGGCACAAAGAATTAGATATGAATTTCCAAAGAACTTATTGATGAAACTCCGGAAAGTAAATATGAATACCTCATCTGCAGTGTGGAACTCTGATAAGCTGATTCTTCTCTCCACTAAGACCAAACCCTCTTTCACCACTAAATCCATAACCTGCAGCATCCAAAAAGGATAAGTAAAGTCTCTGAAAAAAACGGAAAAAATTTGTCAAAATTATAAGAATGAAGGTTGAGGTTAAAATATCCATCAATTAATCATTTCTCACCATCCCTACATCAAAAAAACTTAATGCAATATGTTTTGTCATCTTTTTTCCAAGGAAGATGGAAGTAGGTAAAGTTTTGTACTGGTCAGAAAGTCTGAATAAATCAATTTACAATTGAAAAGGAAGTCAGTGTCACTTACAGTAGCTCGGGTGATACCAGGAAGGCAATAATCAGCATGAGGTGTCAGAACTCTGCCTTTTTTCACTAAAAACTGCGAAAGTGCAAATGATTAGTAGTTATCACTCATCTGGGTAGGGGTGAGAGATGTTTTTACAAATGCTACACATAGGGAACTGCCATGACTGCCCAGGAGTAATGTCCAACAATACAGTGATGATTACTTAATCATGGCAGGAGCTTGGTCTATCTGTAATCCCTTTTTGTTTTTTGGAGGGGGTCTCAAGTTTATTGCAAAATCAATGTCCGTGACTGGTCACAATGACATTTTTTATGTCTATACGATAATATGTTTAACCAATTGATACGAATTATGAATCTGACTTAACGAGTGCCATCTCACTACAATCTCAATGGCCCATCCATGTGGCTTTTTGAGAAGCACCTAAAGCTTCTACGTGTAATGTAGCTCTGACATCAGAAACTGTAACAAAGCCAGAGGCTTACAATGTTTGTAGCATTTGTTTCCGACACAAAACCATCCTTGTCAAGCATGATTGCATCATCAGCATTTGCATTATTCCCTTCAATCTGCACCATGCAAATGAAAACAGTTTTATTTCAGTAGGAAAATATAACTATGACCGATGTATGCTCAGCTACCTTGGCTTTTCTTAGTCTAACTAACTATTGTAGGTAGTCCAGCATGCAATGTGAATAAAAGTTAAAACTGCATATTTGATGCCACTCAACAGGGTTTGTTATTTCAGGAATAAAACGCCTCTACAGCTCTACTAGTAAAGATATAAATTCAAAAACTTCCCAGACCTGCATGGTGAGTGAGTATGTATACAAATGAAAATTTGAAAAAAAGAAAAGAAGGAAAGGAAATATAAAAACAAGGGATTCAAATATATATAACTAGCAATCAGGACAATACCTTTGCAAGTATGTTATTCAGGAGGTTGTTGTGGTGAATTTTCGAATCCAAATTCTGGTGAAGAATAGAAAACCATCAAAGCAACAAAATGTAAGATACATAAACCTAAAAACCCTCTGAGATCATCACACACACAAATGTCGCTACCCCATATGAATAATGCTAAGTAAGTTTTAGTGGTTCCTGACAGAATTAAATTTTGAGGTCAAGAGCAAACTAAGATAAATGATTTCTTAGACAAACCAGTTTGATGAATATGTACTAAGAGTATTCGAAATTTCAGTATGAAGACATAGAAAGGCCATTCAGAGTTTTATTTTCAGTTATTGAACAGTACTAACTGCAGCGTTAACAAGCAAGAAGCCCAAAATCTTACATTTGGGGAATTACGCCGTGTGGTAGCAGTCACCATAGTTATACCATGTGCATTATCATATACCGGGGGTTTCCATTCTGGAAGCACTGCGATTCAAACAAAAATCATGTGGATCAAAAGAAAGCCTGTGATGAAAGTAAATTCTATAGACTATCAAAGATATCAAAAGGAAAGAATCATCCCAATTTAATACAAGCCTAGGTATTGCAATCTAGATTCTAAAATTAGTAACTCTGGTGCAGTGCAAATTAACATGCATGTGTCAATAATACAAACAACTTTGACGAAGCAGTGTCACGCTTAAATAGCATTGAAGACTAGCAATTAAACTTACCAATTAGGGTGCATCCATAGAGGTTAAATGCTGGGCTCATCCCAGAACTAACCTGAAAAGAAAACAATATGCTAAAACATTGAAGAAATTGCAGCACTGACAATTTTTCTTGTTAGAAGATAGACTGATTTAATTAAAGACATAGAAAATGCAAATGATTGCAACTTAAACCTTCTTTCCTCGTGTGAGAGATAGTCGAATATGTGAATTATCAAACATTCCATTCCTTGTTAATGTTCTGAAGATGGCTTCCTTAACCTGCAATTTAATGCCAACCATTAGAAATGTTGAATTGATTAGCCCTTTTACAAGAGAACAAACAACTTCCATTTGATTCATCTTTAAGCCCTTACTTCTTCACGAGTTGGAACATTCTTGAAAGCAAGAGCCTTTGCTGAGTCAAACAACCTAATGAAAAGGAAAAAATCCAGCTCAGTTTTTATGGATGGAAAAGTTCTCTCTCAACCATGAATAAGATCATCATCCTTAATGAAATGATTTAGAAGGGTTAACCTCTTATGATTTGTTCATCAATGTGGCTTTGGAGAAAAAATGAAACAATTGGTTCCAACCATCAACTACAAGTAGAGGAAGTAAATGTTTAAACAAATGGTAGCACTAGCCACCCAAGACGAAAACGTGGGGAAGAAACCATCGGGTATGTAGATCAAAAAAGCAAACAAAAAAGCACGAAAAATAAAGATGAAACGAAATCATCTATCTGTAACTAGTTTAATACCTTACTAGTTGTATTCCATTTTGTAGAAAAATATGAAAAAAGAGAATAATAGTTGTATTTGCTATATTGGACTCAAAGTGTTACAGCCTACATATATAGTAAATAGATTAGCCTATTTATGAAGTATTAGCTGTTCAAAGAGATAGAATTCCCTAACTTAGGTAACATACAAACTTTCTATATTTACACCATAAATTACTCTATTCTTAATTATTTCCTTTCAACACTCCCCTTAAGCTGGCTTGTAAATGTCTTCCATGGCCAGCTTGCTTACAAGATAATCAAGCCGAGGTTTAGGTAATCCTTTAGTGAGAATATCAGCTACATGTTGATCCGTAGGTATGTAAAGAACACAGATTAAACCATTCTCAAGTTTTTCTTTGATAAAATGTCTCGTCAACTTCAACATGCTTTGTCCTATCATGAAGAACTGGATTTCTTGTCCTATGAATTTCGGGATATATACAAATGATAATTTGTATACAAGCTTAACATTTAGCTTGATTTATAGGACAATATATTGAGAGCCCATTCTTACATTTATGTTGCTATAATTACGCTAACACCGTTGATACCAAGTTGAGAAAAATAAACAAATAAAAAAAATATAAAGATACTCCTATGACTACATAGTTCTTTATAATGGTATCGTATTGTATTTATATGTAGGGTTTAGTGCAATATAAAAAAGAGTAACACGACGGACCATCGGACCATCCGCCCAATAGCCGGGCTTCATGCTAAACAAAAGCCGTAAATATAAAAGAAATTTAATAAATTAAGAAGACCAATGGCTTGTATTTGTAAGGATGTTTTTGACGGACTCCTCCTTTTCTCCAGATCACGACAATAAGATGATATTATTAATTATCCTCTCAATAAAAAAAAATTCCTCAAAATATAATTTATTAATAAGTGTTGCGGTGCCTCTCATTGGAATGAGTTTGATTAGTCGAAGCCATTCTTGAAACAATTGTTGTTGGCAAATCTTGGGGAATGCCATCCTTTTCTTCTCGGTTATTGGGGCCAACAAAGACCTAACATGTGAGAAAACCTAAGCTATATGCTCGGTCTTAAGAGATTAGTAAGGAATTAAGCTATGGTTTTGTGGTTCGAGGGTCGATTTGTTTCCGTTAAATTTTTCATATTTTGCTTATTTTACCTTTTTAGTCTTGTTATTTATTATTTTATGTCACCTTCACATTTGTATATGAGTATTGAGACAAGAGTCGGCCACAACGGACAAGGAATAGATGGACTCTGCTATAGTGAAATAGTTTGTTAGAATGCAATTACTTCATAGATAAACTCTGCTACGGAGTTTGTTAGTTACAAGAACTCTGCTACGATAGTTAGTGAATTGCTTATACTCTCTAGTTCTTATCCATTGTATTATCTAGAATTCTAAATACATCATACTTGTACGTGTATATAAAGGACATGTTAAAGTCCTAGGAATACAAGGCTGAAAATATTATCTTCTAACGTAAACACACGGTTTATCTTGGTATCGTAGCCTTACAAGGCTCAATAGCCAAACTTCTCCTTTTTTTCCTCACTACAACAGAAACACGTAATTTCTCCTTTTCTTTCTTACCGTAGCAAAACACCTCCTCCCCCCCACACTGCACCCAATGACTTCCTCTAGCAACACCAACTCTCCCACCATCACCGCTGAAATCGTGCCGACCATTCCCCAATCCACCACTCCAATGAGTCACCTAACTAACTCCCATCACTTCATCTCCTTGAAACTCACCCAAACAAATTATCTATTGTGGTGCATTCAGCTCAAGCCTTTTCTCCTTAGCCAAGACTTATTTCGATTTGTTGATGGATCTTTCCCTTACCCCCAGCCATATTCTAGCCTCTAATGATGGCCTTCCATAACAAAACCCCGCTTACAAAGCATAGATCCAACAAGACCAACTTCTAAGGAGCACTCTCATCTCCTCCCTCTCAACGAAATGCTTCATATGGTAATTTATTGCACCACATCTAGTGAGGTTTGGCTCACACTTGAAAGAGGCCTTTCTTCCCTATCTAGCACTCGGATAATAAGCTTGCACCTAGTCTTGCAACGGCTCGAGCAGGATCACCATGAATCGGCTTCTACCTTCCTCTATCGTGCTAAATCAATTAGTGATGAACTAACGAGCACTGGCCGTCCTCTCCCCTTGATTGACTTCAATCTCTACATCTTTAAAGGCCTCTCAGTGACTTCGAGGACATTATCACTACTCTCTCCACACGTCCCGAACCGGTAACATTCATCGATCTTCATAGCTTCTTTGTTAGCCATACATTTCTCCACCTTGATTCGGATTTAGTGTCACCACCACAACATGGCCTACCGGCCACACCTACTCCTCCTCTATTATCTACACCTCATGTAGCTCACATAGCAGCTAGGGGCTTGGGTTATCGGTTCCAAAGAGACCGTTACTTGAACTCCAATAGAAATCGTGGTAGACAATCTAGAGGAAGGGGACGTGACCGTTCCAACAACGGTATGGAAACACCTCTTTTCACTCGAAAACCGTGGTTACCGGAACAACAAAGACAGCCGCGCCAAATGCCGGATATGCCATGCCCGAAGCCACACAACCGTCCACCGCCCACAACGCCACTTCGGCCAACAACATCCCACGTGACTCTCGACTTGGCTAGCTTAAGCACATATGAACCATACATGGGTAAGGATCAACTCCAAGTTGGAAATAGTGAGTTTTTACCTATTTTGCACATTGGTTCAAGTCATATTAACACTCCTACTAGATCTCTTAAATTGCTTGACGTGTTACATGTCTTACAAATAACTCGACCTCTATTATCCGTGAAACGCCTTACTAAAGACAATAACTTATTTTGGGAATTTCACCCCTCCATGTTTTATGTTAAGGACCGTGTACACAAGACCAAACTTTTTCGAGCAGGAGTGATGTCGATCTCTACTCCCTTCATGCTTCATATCCCACCTCCAGGTCCTAAAACATTCTCAAGCAAAAGTCTCTACACCGGTTTGGCACTTCGAATGGGTCACCCCAACCATCGAGTACTCAATTTTCTTTAACATAAGTACTCCTTATCAAAACCTTTAAATTTATCGAGTCAATGCTTGTCATGTCCATTAGGAAAATCTAGTCGTCTATCTTTGTCTTTAACAAACAATCCAAGTATGAGTATGTTAAATTTAATTTTCGAGTGATGTTTGGGGTCCCTCCCCTACCACTTCTATCGATGGTTTTAAATATTATGTTATCTTTGTTGATCACTTCTCTAAATATATATGGTTATACCCTTTACGTAAAAAAATCGGATGTTTATAATGTTTTCATTCAATATCAAAATCAGGTTGAACATCGCTTTAATTATAAAATTAAACAAGTCTAAACCGATTAGGGTGAGGAATTTCGAGGACTAAATAAATTCTTTCAAAATATAGGAATTGCCCACCGCATTATGTGCCCTCACCCATATGAGCAAAACGATACTCGTAGAGACGACATCGCTATATTATGGAAACAGACCTCACCCTCTTAACGAGGCCCATGTTCCCAAACAATATTGGACATATGCGTTTGACACATACTGTTTTCTTAATTAACGAATGCCCTCTCCTATCACCAACTATACATCACCATTTGAACTCGTGTTTAAGAAAAGCCCGGATTATTCCTTTCTAAAAATTTTTGGTTGTCTCTGTTTTCCATATTTAAGACCTTATAACAAACATAAAATTGATTTTCGATATGCACCTTGCATTTTCTTAGGATATAGCCCATCACATATGGGCTATCGTTGTTTTGACAAAACCAAAAATCGCCTTTATATTGCTTGTCATGTCCGGTTTGTTGAGTCGATATTTCCATTTTCATAAATTCACTCGTCCGGTATGAACATAAGTTCATCCACTATTTCACTCCCGTGGCTTAGTGTCCTACTCCGCCACCTCTATTACTCCAACTAGATCGACATCACTCCACTTACCCCGCCGGGTAATCCATTTCAAAACCCACCTCCACAAGCCCCCATGGCTAGCCCCCAAACACCACATACCTATATGGATAGATCACTACCCCACCATTCCGTGACAACCCAAACCCAAAACCAAACCGCACCTCACCCTCCCATTATCCCCAACTCCAATAGCTCAAATTGCCACTCCCAAAATCCAAACTACTCTTCCACCACACCGGTATAAATTTACAGTTAGATTTTAGCAAGTATGACTTGACTAACTAGTGTGTAGGTAGTATTACAAATTCATCATCCAAAGGGAGTCGAAACGAACCCATCCTATGGTTCTACGAAATATGGGTCCAAAAGCCTCTCTTGTAGTATCTTCTCCAAAGAATCCCGGAAAGTCCTACCTGCTATACTCGAAGCTAAAAACCATGCGAGCATGGAGAATGGCTATGGAGTCGGAGATTAATGCCCTCCCGAAAACCGACACTTGGTCCCTAGTCCCCACTACACGAGGCCATAAACATTATAGGGAACAAGTGGGTCTTCAAAACCAAAAAACATATAGATGGCAAGTATAGAAAGGTACAAGGCAAGGTTAGTTGCCAAAGGGTTTCACCAACGGGAGGGGATTGATTTTGGGGAAACTTTTAGTCCAAGTGGTCAAGCCCGTAACTATCGAGTTGTTACGTCCTTAGCGAGTCTCATACAATTGGCCCATCAAGCAACTCGATGGGCACAATGCATTCCTAAATGGCACCTTACATGAAACAATCTATATGGCCCAACCAGTGGGCTTTGTTAATTCTCGGTTCACGACTACGTCCGTAAGCCGCATCGCTCTCTCTATGGTCTTAAACAAGTCCCCACGGGCTTGGTATTCTTGTCTTCAAGACTTTCTCCTAAATTTCAGCTTTGAGGGGTCTAAAACATATTCTTCTCTCGTTTATTTACAAAGCTAGGGGTTACAGAGCATTCCTGCTAGTCTATGTCGACGGCATCATTATTACTAGTGACCATTCAGCTTTTTTAGAGACAATAATAAATGCTCTAAACTCCAAATTTACTACACGAGACCTTGATGATATTAGCTTCTTTTTGGGCATAGAGGTGATTAAAACATCGACGAGTATTATGATGTCTCAATAGAAATATATCCACAATCTCCTTACTAAACGAGGGAATGCTTGACGGTCATTCCATCACCACACCCATGCCCACCACTTCAAAACTCGAAAAATGGAGATGTTGAATTCTTCTCCGATCAAACTTTATATAGACAGAGTTGTAGGTGCCCTTCAATATGCTACTCCGACTAGACCGGATATTGCATATGCTCGTGAACAAAATGTGTCAATTCATGCACCAACCTACTTTAGAACATTGGGTGGTCGTCAAACGCATCTTGCGATACTCGAAGTACACATATATTTATGGTTTGCACATTCGAAAATCCAACTCTCAACTATTGACGAGCTTCTCCGATTCAAATTAGGCGAGTTCTTTGGATGATAGAAAATCTACGAGAGGGGTATGCTTGTCTACTTAGGATCGAATTTAATCACTTGGAAATCCTCCAAGCGAAAGATAGTACTCCGCAGCTCTACCGAAGCCGAGTACAAAGCTTTCGCAGATCTTGCAGCCAAAATCACTTGGGTCATGTCTTTACTAGGTGAGCTTGACTTCACACTAGCTCATAAGCCGATTATTTGGTGTGATAATATTGGAGCTACTTATTTGGCGATAAACCG